TCCTCTAAATAAAAAATGGATGACGGAGGAGACTCATCCACGACCTCCGACACTAAACTCTCCTCCTCTTGCATGTTTCCGCTGTCCATAGCGTTCCTTGACTGCGTCGTTTCTAAGTCACCAATTTAGTGCTACTTGGTCCCAATGGAATTTCCCATTGGGAACCTGCTAGCACTAAACAGCCACTAAACTGCCGCTTCCCTTCTACTTTAATATTTTAAGCGTCCTGATGACATTTGAACAAAATAATTTTTATATCATAAAAAAATAGCATAATTAATGTGCACAAATTAGGAATAGTTGTATTAACCATATATATAAAAGGAACTTGGGGCCGCCTAGCTCCCTTCTAGACTCCTCTGTCCGCACCTGCTCCCAGTCTACTGATTAGGCTGGTCTTTGTTCAGTCTCCCATTTATACACCTCCCGTTCAGTCACTGTTTGCTGGATCCTCGTCGTTTCCCGGCTCTGACTGTTTTCCTGGATGTCTCCTAGATTTGGCTTTTCTATATTTGTTCATTTGGATTTTTGCTTCAGTTTCCGCTTTTGGACATAAAACCTACAAGAACTCATCTCTGCCTCCTTCGTTTCTGCATTTGGGTTCTTAAAAAATCCTCCACACAAACCGTGACACTTTTAACCCAGAGGAAAGAATGCTGAGCTGACATAAACCCATTCACCCAGACCAAAGAGTTCAGCTGGGATCCAAAAGAAAGAAAGAAAAAGTCTCTACATAGTTCAGATTACAGGATTACTGCAAATATGATTTCGATTTTAGCTCATAAATCAGCCTGAGGGAGGACAAAAGAGGCACAAAAAGGATTTTAATGTTCAGCCAGGTTGTTGCTCTCTTATGAAAGGCTATTGCACAATCCTTTAAAAAGGATCATTTGTGTGGATTTCCCACCAGGGTTCCTGAAAACCACTAAAGTCACTTTATTGTTTTTTACACTTGAAGTCCCAGATTTACAGCACAGCTTTGGTCAGATCCACTTACCGACGCCTCCTTTCTTCTGCCTCAACAAATCAAAAGCTGCATGGCTGCGTGACGGGATCTCTGCTGTGGAAGAACTCTGCGCTCCTAGAACCCCGCAGATCTGACAGCGTGCGGTGCGTGGACGCAGGACCGGCCAATCCACGCAGATCCCTCAGAAGGAAGTGGGGAAAACAGGATGTGAAGTCATCACGGGGGACACCCTGCTTTTTTTTTCTTTAGGGCTGAGTTTCTGTAAGTTTACACAAACCGTTGCGCAGCAGCGGCACGTGGACGCAGCAGGTATTCAACGGACAGGGTATGGCAAACCATCGTGTGATTTAATTCACACCAAATATATTGGCCTTTTTCACTTTAAATGATGCCCTAGATCAGTGGTAACCAACTAAAAATTAAAGCATCAACCAGTAAAGGTCCAGAGACATTTTTTAATTATAATCTGTTACTTTAAACAGAATTTAACACTAAAATAAAAATAAGGCGTTATACATTGACTTTTTTAAATAAAAAATATTTTAAGAAAATAGAAAGTTTTTCCAATTTAAAATCTCAATTGTTTTTTGAAGAAGAGAACAACAATAGTTCAGTTTGGTTTATAGACAATTTCCTGATTCCCATATTTTCTCAAACACCTGAACTGATCATTTGTTATATTTCTTTCTTTTTTCTGTCTTAATGTT